AGATGCAACTTAAAATATCCTGTATCTCTGTGTTGGGATACATAATCCAATAAACTCAACTTCATATTCTTTTTATCTCCCCAGTGTAATCAGTACATATTAATGCAAATGAAGTTAAGAAACTGAGACAATTATCTAAATAACCCAGGCTTTAAATTTAGTTTTCTATCCAAAGAAAAGATTTGAACAGTTATCCAGCATTGGCTCAAATCTGTAAATCCAAGGGTGGTAAAAATTCTTGTAAAGTAAGTACACTTCCAACTTTCAGTTTTAATCTCAGAGTTATTTTCTTTTCAACATTTATTAGCACCAAGAACATGTTTACTAAGCAACACTTTAGGAAAAATAAAAGTACTCCCTACTACAAACCTATTTGATTGTGTACTATAAGGATGAGGAAAACTGAGGGAATAGCTTTGATCATTCAAGTGAAGAATTAAGGAAATACTTTAAAAAAATTAACCATAATTATCGGGATGCTCTGGTTGAAGAAACAAAATAGGGTCTAAATTGTATAGTGACCTCAATTCTTTGCTTTACTTTGTCATAAACCTGGTATTAAAATATAAAATAACTATTTCAAGAAATCACTGAGACTTTTGAAGCTCTCAAGTTACTTTGTTTCAAATGTTATTATACCAGTAGTCACACTAGGAAAAAAGGTATGGATGTCATCAAATTAGATTACCAGAAAAACTCCCCCTATTTTACTTTATTTAATGTGACACATAAAGAAAACCCTGTACAAATATCTGTCTTTAATTTCTCTAGTGTAAAAAAAAAAAAAAAAGAGGAAATATATTGTGTCTGGCAGAATAAAACAGATGAAGTAGCCTGGGTACATTAAAAAAAAAAGAAGAAGAAGAGGTGGGTAGAAATCAAATGCTTACAATGAGCCTTCAAAGCCACTCCAGCAATAGGGATAAAAATAATTCAATAAACTCAACTTCATATTCTTTTTATCTCCCCAGTGTAATAAGCACATATTAAAAAGTAAAACTTTAAATTCATGAATATTTGGGAACAGAATAGCAACCAGCAGATAATGAAAAAACACAAAACAATATCTTTGTGAACATTTAACATGTGTGTGCATATCCTCTAACAGATAAATTTTTCCAGATGAAAGGTCACAAGTGCTTAAATTTATGAACATGTAATTCAAATTAGATTTTTTTAAAAAACAGAAACCTTGCAGTTCTACATTTCTCAACATAATAGACTTTTTCTTTAACTCTAATAAGGTGACTATTTTTGCATTACTTTGTTTACTCCGTAATATAAGCAGGTCTACAAAATGGGGATAAGTTACCTAGGAAATAGCACTTAAGGAAAAATATTTTGCCATTGTTATTTTGAATGCTTTGAATTGTTAAAAATCACAGTATTTGATTGTTTTATATTCATTAATAAGTACCAAAATTTATGATAATGGTGAGCTTGTGACTGCTTTGGACTTTTTTTCCTAAGTGGTATATTTTAAATCAAGGCTGCCTAGTAAACCAGGTAAATGAAATGGAAAAAAAAAATCGAATTGGTTAGTCCTTAAAATTTCAAATACCATTCAAATGTAAGCATCTCAGATTTTCATTAAATCATGAGACTCTTGATTCCTCCCTCCCCCCTTCAATTAGGTCAGTTTTCTTCAATTATCATTCTATTATTAGCTCATGTCAAACATGCCTGCATAGCATACCAATGAAAACAATTAACACATATCCTAAAGCATGGGACACACAAGGTTTTATTCATAGTAAAAACATATAAGGCTGGTGTCATTCAAATTGTTTTATAAAGTTTTCATATACGTAAATAAATTGATTTTAGGCTATCTCCATGTATTAAGTAATCATTTGAAGTAAGTAGTTCAATAGGGCAAATGATATTTCAAAAAAAAAATTTTACTATACAATAGTTAAGTTACTCCCATAAAACAAATCTAACTCCAAAACCTTGATTTAAAAAAGGCTAAATTATACCTAAAATATACTATATTTTTTAAGTTCCTCTCCATAGGTTATTTCAATAAAAAGAAGAAGTAAGGGATAGAAAGCACACTCCTCAGAACAGTTTGATTTTCCCTTCAATAGTTGAGAGGTTTATGAGATCTTTGGAAAGGTTCAGATACAGAAAGCAATTCATTTCACGTGTTCGGTGTAATAGAAAATCACTGTGATGCAGCAACAAGCAGTACTTGCACTGGAGTATTACAGTTTACCCACAGAGATTATGGCGGGTGGGTGAGTCCTATGTTATGTAAATCACTGTCAGTGCCATGAGCGAAGCAGGGTGCTATAGGAAGCAGATCAGTAAACACTCCCGGTGTCCTTGAAACGGAAGGACTTCACTTTCGTGGAACACTGGAGGACTAACGCGTTTCTTAGTCCTTTTCTCAATATCCATTTTCTTTTTCAAAGTGCAAATCGTTAGGAAAAGGCCCCGGTTACACCAATTAGTTTGCACAAAGTGCTTCAGTGTTTAGCTGCTTTAACCCAATTAAGCCTCACAGTGCGCCCCGAAGATGCGCCACCTGCGCGCCTGGCTGCAGCAAGGACCGCTGGCCGCCCTCCCGCCCTTCGCATTAGACCCGACAGGACGACCCTGCCACGGTCCCCGGAACGGCCGCGGGCCTCCACGTCCCAGGCTGCGTCAGGTTCTCCATAACCAGGGAAATATGCAGGTGGCCCAAGAAATGGAGAGGTGAGTCCGGTCCCAGCAACTCTAGCCTGAACCCCAGGGGGAGCGCGCAGGGCGCAGGGGCCGTGGCCGGCGACCAGCACGCGCCGATTTGGCTTCAACCACATGTGGGCCCAGGGCTGAGAGGTGCCTGGGCAGAGACGGAGGCTTTCAGCGAACGTGAAGAAACCCGCACACAGAGTAAGGTTTTAAAATAACGGCTTACAGAAATAAAGCCTATGGGACTGAGAACAGAGAGGGGAAAGGACGGCCCGGGAATGCGGAGTAGCGGGAGAGAGGGGACCAGCGGGAAGTACATGGGGACTTGCGCTGAATGAAACACAGAGGTGGCTTTTCCCCAGAGACCAACGCACATCTTTGCCTTAGTGGCCGTGGGTTCTTCCGCTCAGATTTGCTTCCTCTTCCAACTGCCAAAAGGTAGCAGTGCATTCACCCGCAAAGCCGGCAAAGTGAGGAGGGGCGTTCGGTGATCCCAACCCCAGTCCCTAAGGGAATAGAAGGTTCTCGGGGAATAGCGCAGATGAATGCTGTAAGCTCCAAATCTAATGTACTATTTTAAGCTAAATCAGAATGTATCACTCTTGGATAAGGAGAAAGTAAATAATAGGTGGCTTTGTGATGCTCTGCTGTTGCCACCCCCCCCCCATCAAAAGATTGAGTAAAAATTGGGGGCCCTGAACAAGATCTTGTTAAAAGTTGTTCTGAAAGAAAGCGCCTACAAAATTATTACCAGGCATTAGAGGATTTTGCTGGAAATATTCTTAATTTGGAAGAGAGGGCATTTAAATTAAAGGTTGGCGATTAAAAATCTGCCTAGGTTTTAAAACCACCACATAACCCTAAGTAGTATTTCTTTCCTTTACTAGTACATTAAGGACATATTTGGTACCACAAAAAAATTCTATATAAATCCATTTCCTCCTCTGTTTCAAGGTTCCAAATTTAGAAATGTTTATTTCTTTCTAATTTTTCCAAAATGATATTTAATTAAAAATCCTGGATGACTGTAAATTAATTTTCTTTTAAAATCTTAATCATTTTCCTTTAATCAAATCACATAGAGTCATATAAAATTAGAAGTCTATTGTCAGGTCAGCACTAAGGACACTTAAGAGAGGAGATATATCCTTAATTATACAGCTGTAAAAATGAGCAAGAAAACCCAAATCTGCAAATTTTCAGGAAAGTTGTCTGCCAGTGGGTCTCATTTCAATTATCTTTCTTGAATTTCACATACAGCTCATTATGACCATATGTTAATAATCTCTCCATCACAGAGGTAATTGATTTTTCAAATATTTCTATCAATGCATACAAAACTTAGTGTCCCACTTGTAATGTTGGGCAAGCCTACCACAGTACAAAGAGGAGGGAGGGGTATACTAAACATTTTTTAAAACATCCTAACTTAAAGTGGGGTAGACAATATCTAACACACTTAGCAATAATTTTTGGATCCCTCTCAATAACTGCAAATGAGGGACAAATACAATCCGGATCTCTGCCCCAACATGATCTGCCCCAACACACTGCATAATATTTTTAAAAATCATTCTAACATATAGGAACATCCAGAAAACCAACCTGCATAATCAGGAAAGAGCAAACTTTCAACTTGTATTTTAAAAGACCTCCAGGATTAACAGACATTAATGATCTTCTTCCTCTAAATGTAAGTTAGTGACTCTTGTCTTAGAAAACCCCAACTAGTCCACTAATTGATGGATGACCATTCATACACCTGTATATGCATTTCAGCGGTAAAAAGACAAACGGTTTTCAGCACCAAGAGTACCACTTGGCCAAGTCTTTTTCAAAATGTCAGTATGCTTCAAGTAATACCAAAGCTGAGAGATTCCTCTTGATTTCCAAGTGTCTAGGTGGCCTGGGTGGGTTTCTGCCTGCAGCAGCCTCCTACCTTTAGTTCCTGTGCTTATATCCATGAGGGGGATTAATTAGCCTGGCTGGAGCCAAAGGAGGCTGTCGTGACGAGCCCAGTGGCGATTGGCCGCCAGCCTGCCTGGCCCTGCCTTTATAATTTCCACACGAGTGCGTCTGGGCTCTGAGACAAACCGACAGCAGCTTCTTCTGACATATACACACGCACACTCACCCCTGACACACTCAGCACACTTTTCCTCCACCTGATTAACAGTCCTGCACACACAATGCCTCTCGGAAAGGGTAAATAAAGACGGAAAGGGTTTATTTTGACTCCTGAAGAGCTTTGCTGGGTATCAGCGCAACTTTGTTTTTATAACTGAGAAGGGGATCTCTCCATGCGTTTCTCTCCCACCAGGATTCTTTAAAAGAGGAAGAGAGGCCGAGAAAGGGGGAGGGGGACAGTGTTTCACTTTAAGAGCCGCTGGGCGCCTAGACACAAGGAGGGGACCGCGGCAACTAGAACCCCCGCAGCGGCGCGTCCGGACCGGTTTGGAGACGCTCTGAGAGCGCTGGGCCGTTTCTGCACGAAGTTGGCTCCAGCTCTAGCAGCCGCATTGGATCCCACAGCCTACTGCGAGACTCCGGTGTACAATCCGGATCTCTGCCCCAACATGATCGCGGCCCAGGCCAAGCTGGTGTACCATCTGAACAAATACTACAACGAAAAATGCCAAGCCAGGAAAGCTGCCATTGCTAAAACTATCCGGGAAGTCTGCAAAGTCGTATCCGACGTGCTGAAAGAAGTGGAAGTGCAGGAGCCCCGCTTTATCAGCTCCCTCAACGAAATGGACAACCGCTATGAGGGCTTGGAGGTCATCTCCCCCACCGAATTTGAGGTGGTGCTTTACCTTAACCAAATGGGGGTTTTTAACTTTGTGGATGACGGCTCGCTGCCCGGCTGCGCGGTGCTGAAGTTGAGCGACGGGCGCAAAAGGAGCATGTCCCTCTGGGTGGAATTCATTACCGCCTCCGGCTACCTCTCGGCGCGCAAAATCCGGTCCAGGTTTCAGACGTTGGTGGCTCAAGCAGTGGACAAATGTAGCTACAGGGATGTGGTAAAGATGGTGGCAGACACCAGCGAAGTGAAACTGCGAATCCGAGATCGGTACGTGGTGCAGATCACCCCTGCATTTAAATGCACCGGGATCTGGCCGAGGAGTGCTGCCCACTGGCCACTTCCCCACATCCCCTGGCCCGGACCCAACCGGGTGGCGGAGGTCAAAGCCGAAGGGTTCAATCTCTTGTCCAAGGAGTGCCACTCCCTGGCCGGCAAGCAGAGCTCGGCGGAGAGCGACGCCTGGGTGCTGCAATTCGCGGAAGCGGAGAACAGACTGCAGATGGGGGGCTGCAGAAAGAAATGCCTGTCCATCCTCAAAACCTTACGGGACCGCCACTTGGAACTGCCTGGCCAGCCCCTGAACAATTACCACATGAAGACTCTGGTTTCCTATGAGTGTGAAAAGCATCCCCGGGAGTCCGACTGGGACGAGTCTTGCCTGGGCGATCGGCTCAATGGCATTTTGCTGCAACTTATCTCCTGTCTGCAGTGCCGGCGGTGCCCTCACTACTTCCTACCTAACCTAGACCTGTTTCAAGGCAAACCTCACTCGGCTCTAGAGAACGCTGCCAAACAAACGTGGCGACTGGCAAGAGAGATCCTGACCAACCCAAAAAGTTTGGAAAAACTTTAGAGAACAGCCGAAACGTTACTACTCTTCTCAAAATCCTAATTAAGTGTACACTTCCTGTTCGATACCTAATATACCACTTGACAGTGCAAACAATCTCTTCCTTAAAAAGGAATAATACAATGCTTAGGCATTCTCACCCACCCCTCCAAGGGGAGAAAAACAGTGGGGAAAGCAGATAAAGGAAAACCCCAGCCCACAAGTATTAGAGACTTCTTTACAAAGGATTTCATAATTCTCTTGGAAAGTACACAATGACACCCTGAAAACAACCCAGCTGTAATGCAAGACCACAGGGAACACTCTGCCTAACTATCAAAGGATTATAGCAATCCTGGTGACTTAGGTGCATCTGCTGTGAGTAAACACGATTTGGATATGCCATCTGAAGGAAAGTGAAATGTATATTTTTATTTGTAACAAATATTGTGATCTCACATTGTCTTTGAAGTGTGGATGTTTGTGTTTTGTGATTTGGTGAACAGAAGTTAAATTGCCATTTTGGATACTTCCAGACATTTTCCTCTAACAAAGATACCATTTAAAGGTAGATTTCCTCCCAATACTTTATCTGTCTTTGAAAGTATCTGAACTTTAAAAAGTTTACATTTTGTTTCAAATATATTGCTTGTTCTATTTCTAACATTCCATAAGTATACTTGAAATGTTATTTAAATATAGTCAAAGAAATTTGAATTCAGCGTATATAATAACGCTTGAATATCTGAATTATATATTTGAAAAATGCACTTGAAATACACTGGATAATTACTTTTGGAATTTAGATTTTAATTTCTCTTGCTGGTTTTTATTTAATTAGAAGCTAATAAAGAGGTAAAATAAAAGTTGTGTGTCACTTTAAATTGTTTTTCTTTGAAAAGATGTAATGCTTCATTTTGAATATTGAACTCACTTGAATATTTTAAACATTACAATGTTTTTTGTAGAGCTACAGAAGATAACAGTATACTCTCACTTTCTAACTTACTTAAAAGACTATTTCTTTCCATGACAGACACAATTTAAATCTACCCATGAAAGCTTGCTCTTCTAGGTTAGTATTTCTGTGCCATTTTTGATGATATAAAGAAAAAATTTAGTGAAGACTGTTAAGTTAAACATCAGACTAACTCGCAGAAATGAACTAATCAAAATCATAATGAAAATTTTGAAATTTGTAAATGAAAACTATACTAGCTAATAAAATGAAGATAATTTCTGACCAGTTAATGTCAGACCTTATTTTATGCAGTGTTCAAATAGCTGAGTAAATTAATCAGAAATCCAAAATTTCTTTTTACTTTATAGGGCTAGCTAATAATAAAAGCATAAAGACAAACTTTAAATTATTTAAAGTCAAATACATTATATTTACACGTATTTGTAAAATTCAATTCTTTTGGATCTAGAAGTGAAAGAAGTCCTGTAACAATCCTTCAAAGAGTATTTTAATAGTCAACAAGTGCTGAGAAGAACTAATCACCTATGGCCTTAAGGTTATTAGTTAATTCAAGTGGGGGTAAATTTTAGAATTTCAATTGCTATTCTACAAATAGCATTTTATAATGCTTTATTTCTATATAAAATTTACATAGAAAGGATAAAGTTCTGGATCTATGGGAGCATTTATCTTTGACTATTTTAGAATAATTGTCTCTGAAAACTACTTTAAAGGAAGACTTTTGTAAAATGATTCTTAAATATCTAGCATGACACTTCTGTTCTTGAATTCTTAACCTCAGGGAAAAAAGTTTACAAATTGTACATACATACAAGTTAAAATAACAATAAAATTGATTGCAGAAGAAAGTGCAGAGGTGTAGAGTTGCCCTAATATTCAGGTTTTAAAATCTAAACAAGACATAAAAAACAAATAAAATATGCATTTCAAATCCTCCAAACGTGTATTTTCTGCATTACACCCAGAGAAGAATACAAACTTTAAACATCCCAGCGCTAGTATATACACATTTTAAGTCAAAACTTTCCAGAGAATCAGTTTATCTTCCTTTTAAATTCACATGTAAAACCCATTCTTATTTCAGGAAATAAAAAATGGATGTAATAATGGAGATTAATTTATATCTAAATGTAACCCCCTCCCTGCAGTTTCCTTATAACCTTTCAATCAATAATAATTCACACTGCAATCTACATTTTTGGAAATTAAAAGTGATCTCTAAGAAATTTCATAAAACCCTTCCCAGTCTTCTCAGAGAGCCTGAGATTCTGTACCACAGGGACTTGGGAGCAATTGGCTTAACTACCAGATCTACCCAAATGCACACAAAGGCACTCATAGACAGACTGTTAAAATGTGCCTGCTCTGGTAATACAGAATTTAAAATCGTTAATATAGTCTTCAATCTCATAAAATAAAGCATGTGTTACTTCACTCATTTTATTTTCTATGAGAAAGATGGGAATCTGCTCCCCTCCCCCACTGTCATTTAAAACCCAGCAAAATTGAAAAACACTTCCTCCCACAAAGCCACCAGTACTGTAGCCTAATCACTTTAACTCACTTTAGAGTCGATCTTTTTGAAGGCGGGGTCATCCTCATCTACCTCGAAGTAGATTTCTGTCGTGGTGATCGAGAGAGTCCCTTTGGCTACCACCACGGGAGCGATGAGCTGGGCAGGCGTGCTGAGGACCACTGGGCCTGAAAGACAAGGGCATTCTAGTCAGGCTAAGTCCCTGTGACTCTCTCTGGCTTCCTCCCAGAGTGGTACCCACAAGCTTTTATTTTTAAAGATGCACCAAAAAGATGGTGCTTATACTATGTAGCAAGCTCCTTTCATGCGAGATAAGGTCAGCTTAGCTTTCACAAATTACCTTAAAACGACACTAGAAATAAATACTTTTTATAAAAACCCAATAGGCCAGAGAACCGAATAAGTAACCCTTAGTAAATGAGTTTGCAACCTCCTCCTAGAAATCCTACATGGTTGGTGAGACGCTGTTATTAACTAAAAAGTGCAGTAAGGACTCTACCAGGCCCGATTCTGCACGGAGCACCCCGGCTGTCCGAAACCCTAGGCAGTCAGCACTGCTGGAAGGAAACAGTCCTTGAGTAAAGCCCCGTAAACTAGGCAGCAGAGTTCCCCAAGGGCTGTGCGGGAGGTGTGAAGCCGGCGGGATGGTAATATAGAAAGTCCAAGGCACTACGGGTTTGCATCTTGCAGGAGGATTAATATCGGTGTCCCGAGGCGTGCCACGTACACATACACGCGCGCGCACGGACATTAAATACATTTCTTATGTAGAAAAAAAAAAAAAACTCATAGCAGTGATTTTTCTAACAGAGAACCAGTCAAAAGATGGTGAAATTGTTAAGACATTTGAACAAAACGATTCTCAGGAAAACAGCCGAAAAGTTCTAATTCTCAATTTTTTAACTAGAGGAATTAAGCAAGCTGCAGCAAAAGATTTTTAGGCAATGTGTCTACTAAGGTGCTTACTTCAAATCCCTTCCATCTGAGTTAGAATTGAAAATTAAGAATTTCGCATATTAGAATAGTACAAAGGGGGATTGCTTAGCAGTTCGTTTAAGATTCCCGGAAGGGGAGGCATTCTTAGCTGGACTACAGACAAGGAAATCAGAAATAACGTCCATTCTTCGGTAGCAAGGACGCATTGCATTCTTTTCCATTTCCCCCTCACTTGCATTTTAGTCAAAGGAGTCACAATAACAGCAAAACAGCGATAAAAAGGAGGGTCCCCTGTGGACATTGAGGTCAGGGCCCTTCGCGGCGGCACCTCGCGGAGCAGCTCGTACGGCCACGCGAGCAGCGCGGGAGGCGCGGGCCGTGGAGGTGACCGCGCTCCGGGACAAGCACCGGGAATTCGCCACCAGCCGCACAAAGCCGGCCTTTCTGTCGCCAGAGGCACCGAGAGGACTAGGCCGGCTTCCGTCTCGCTTAAAAGGGGTGGATGTGAAGCAAACTGTGTCAGTGTCAGTCTACACCCTGGACCGTGACTGCCTGTCTGGTCGGAGGAACACTAAACCCTTTCGTTTATTTTACTGCTTTCTCTCCCCGCCTGGAGCCCGCAAGGGGCCCGGCTGGGGTCTCGGGCCTGCAGCTTCCGCTTCAGAGCCAGCGGAGTCAGGGGTCCACCTTGGCTCCGTGAGGTTTTTCTTTCCAAAGGGCAAAGCGGTCGATCTGAAGCGCCACTTAAAGACTCATCAATCTTAATCTAGGTTGCTCAAGTAATTATGCCTGAATCTCTTGTATGATTACAAGTGGATTTGGGTTTCTATTCCCCAGACCCTCCTTTGTGTTCATTGGAGGGTCTGTTCGGTCGCTCAGAAGCGCCCCTGCCTCCCAAGCCTAGCTCAAAATCCCCAAAGCCAGGGCATCCAACCGGCTCCCTTAACCCTTAAACTACCAGGACTCCTTTGGATGCCACTCTTTGATTTCCCTTCTGGAGAAACCCATGTTTACTCTTGTTTAGAACAAGGTGAGAAAGAAGGTGATGTGATTCACATCAGAAACAAAATATCTTCTTATTCATCGTTGGGCCTTGCTAAATAAAACCTTAGGAAAGTCCTTATTCTAAACACAGAAGGATAGTGATTTCTGGTTTAATAGAGCTTTCTGGCAATTGGAGTCCAAGAATGGTCAAAAACATAAAAAATGGCAAAGTACTTCTTTCTCTTAAAAAGTAATTCAACAGATCCAAACAATTAAATTGGAAAAATTGAAAATATATCATGAAACACATTATGAAAACCATACACACTGATTTACTGAAATATATTATGAATTTCAAATACAGTTCTGTAAACTTTTAACAGGTAACACATTTTCTCTACATGTTTCTTTGTGTTTCTGAAAGGACACTGCACTACCTTTTGATTTTACTCCAATCTTATTCTATTGAATTGCTATTTTATAGGGGTTTATAAAAGGGCTTCAAACGGGTCCTTCTTTAAGAAAGTCACGTCATAAAATACTCAGCTTTGTGTGTCATTTTTACCCTTGTCCTTTGGAAATACTAGTATTCAATTACACTTCCAATTCCATGTTTAAGGAGCACCGAGTCTTTTTGTTGTAGCCTTCAGGAAGCAAACCAGTCACAGAGAGAATACAGAGTTAATCCACTACAGCAATAGAGAGAGGGGATTATACATTAATCCCTTTTGGGAGACCCTCATTTTAGGGATCTCATATTAAGATATTTATATAAGGAACAATCACAAACCAGTAGACCTTCCATCTGGAAGATGTGGGTATTTGAAAGCCTCTATCCCTTTAAAAAAAAAAAAGTTAAAACGGGGCAGCATCTCTGGAAGCAAGAGCAATGGTGATCCAGCAGGTTCTATTCTAGAAGATAAATTGGTAAAAATTTAACCTCTAATTTGATTAGTGTAGTGAGTTGGGGACCTGAATGTAGATATATTCAATCCAATCACTACTATAGCAATAAAAGGATAAAATATAATGCATATGAATGACAAATAATAAAGTACGGTTAAAGAAATGGATGGGACAAAACCTCCTCCCCTTATTGATGCCTATAATACTTTAAAGCTGTGTCATCTAAAGTGGTAATTAAAGAAA